TCATTTTTAATTGGATTTTAAAAATTTTTCTTGTGGTTTTTGAATTCTGTATGTATTCTGGATATTAGCCCTTATCTGATCAATATTTTGCAAAATTGTCTCCCATCCTGTCAGTTGTATCAACTCTGTTGTTTATTTCCTTTGCTGTGTAGAAGCTTCTTAGTTTGATATACTCCCATTTAGTTTTGCTTTGTTGTCTGTGTTTTTGGGGTGTTATCCAAAAATTCTGCCTATCCTAATGTCTTAAAATGCTTCCTGTGCTGCCTTCTGGTAGTTTTATAGTTTTGGGTCATAAGTTTAGGTCCTTAATTCATTTTGGATTGAATTTACATATGGTGAGATATGGGTGTCTAGTTTCCTTTGTCCATGTATGTATGTCCAGTTTCCCAGCATCATTATCGGAAATTATTCTTTCTTCAATGTACATTCCTGGTGCCTGCGTGGAAAATCAGTTGGCTGCAAATAGGTGGGTTAATTTCTGTATTTTCTACTCTTGTGTCTGTTTTTACACAGTAGCCTGGTGTCTTAGTACTAGAGTTCTGTAGTATGTTTTGAAATCAGATGTTAATGATGCTTGCAGTTTTACTCTCCTTTCCTCTGCAGGATTGCTTTGAGTGTCCTTTGAGTACTCTGGGTCTTTTGTGGGTCCCTACAAATTTTGTGAATATTTTTTCAAAGTTGTGCAAAATATCATTGGAATTGCACTGAATCTGTTGATTGCTTTGGGTAGCATGGACATTTTAATAATATTAATTCTTCTGATCCATGAGCAGGGGATGTCTTTCCATTTTTTGTGTCCTTTATAATTTCTTTCATCAATGACTTTTCACTTCCTTGGTTAAGTTTATTCCTAGGTCTTTTCATTTTTGTGTGTGTATTGTGAAGGGGACTGCTTCTTCAATTTCTTTTTCATCCAGTTCATTACTGGTGTATAAAACTACTGGCTTTTTTTGGCGTGGTGATTTTGTATCCTAAAATTTTACTAAATTCAGTGATTGGTTCTAGTATTTTTTGGGTGGATTATAGGTTTTCCTGCATCTAAGATCATGTCCTGTGCAAACAGGGATAATTTGGCTTCTTTTCCAGTATGAATAACTTTGATTTCTTTCTCTTGCTTCAGCTAAGTCTTTCAGTACTATACTGAATAGGAGTGGTGGAAGTAAACTTGTTTTTGTTCCAAATCTTGGCTTTTTTTGCCACTTTCTTTTGTTTAAATTTAAATTTTTATTTTTACTATACATGCTTATAGTACTTAAGAATTACATTCCTCATGGGGAGTTGGTACATGTGGATTACACATCTAAATTCTTTTTTCATCCTCTTCCTCTCCCTTTCTACTCCCCCCGTCCCTTCCCTTTTACAAGAGATCTATCTCCCAATTTCCTATCTTTTACCTTTTATTTTGATCTCTATTTATACCAACTCTTGGCTTTTATCCATGCTGCTATGGGTTTGTCATATATAGACTTTGTTGTTATATTGTCCCTTCTATACCTAATTTGTTGAGGGACTTTTATTGTCATTGTCATAAAGGGATGTTGAATTTTATTGATTTTTTTGTGTGTGTCTATTGACATGATCTGTGATTTTTGTTTTTCAGTCTCTTTCTGTGCACTATATTATGTTTATTAATGTGTGTTTTTGAACCATCTTTACATTCCTGAGATAAACTCCACTGGATCTTAGTATACAATCTTTTGGATATGCTATTGGATTTAGTCTGCTGGTGTATTTTGTTGAAAATGTTCATCAGGGATACTGGTCTGCAGTTTAATTTTTGTTGTTGTTGTGTCTTTGGTTTTGGTATCAGCGTATTGTTAGCCTCATAGAATGAGTTTGGCAGAGTTCTCTCCTTTCAATATTTTGGGACAGTTTGAAATGAACTGGGATTAATTCTTCTTTAGTTGTTTGATAAAATTCAAGAGTAAAGGCATCCTGTCCTGGGCTTTTTTTGTCGGGAAGCTTTTTGTGACCAATTGAATCATTTACCTTTTTGATCTAGTCAGGTATTTTATGTCTTTATGGTTCAACTTTGGTAGGTTATATGTGTCAAGGAATTTATCGATGGCTTCTAGGTTTTCCAGTTGGCATATTGGTTCTAATGATTTATTATACTTCTGTGGTATCAGCTGGAATGTCACTTTTTTCATGTTTGATTTTACTTATTTGGGCTTTCTCTCTTTTGTTCTTGGTTAGCCTGGCTTAAGGGTTTGTTGATTTTGTGTATGTTTTCAAAAAATCAATTCTTCATTTTATTGCTCTTTTATTCTGTTTTTTGCTATCTCATTTACTTCTGCTTAGATCTTTATTATTCTTTCCTTCTACTAAATATGGGTTTGGTTTGTTCCTGTTTTTCTAGTTCCTCAAATTGAAGCGTATGCTGTTTATCTGAAATCCTTTTTTGATGTAAGAATTGATTGTTATAAACTCCCCTGTTACTACTAGTTTTGCTATATCTCATAGATTTTAGTATGTTTTATTTCCATTTTCATTTGTTTCTAGAAATTTTTGAGTTTTCTTTATTGACCTGAAAGTAATTCAAGAATCTGTTGCTTGTTTCCACGTATTTGTATAATTTGTAAATTTCCTTTTGGAGGTAGGATAGAGCTCATTGGTGAAGGACTTGCCTATCTTGCTTGAGGTCCTGAATTCTCTCCACAGCCCTGAAACAAAATAACACAAACCATTACCACAGTAAAACTTCAAGCAAAACCCTTCAAAACTCTAAAAATTAAAAATAATAAAGTCACTCTTGTTGCTTATTTATAATTTTAGCCCATGTGATCAGGGAAGATAGTGATAGATTTTTTTTTTTTTTTTTAAATTTTGGGCTTATTTTTGGTCTAACGTATGGTCTGTTCTGTAGAAGGTTGCATGTGAATTCTGCTGTTGGATGAAATGTTCTGTAAATGTCTGTGAGGTCCATTTGGTCTAGGGTGTAGTTTAACTTTGTTTCTTTGTGGAGTTTTTGAGGGTCTGGATGATGCATCCATTGATGAGAGTGGTGTGCCGAAATCCGCAAAGAGAATTTCACTGAACAAAATTGTAGCTGCAAAAGGATGTAGACAAACACTTGTGAGCCTTTCAAATTGAATGTTGTCTTTAAAAAGCAAATGCTCAGTTCCACATTTGAATTAAACATATGGTCAAGTGGACTTTGACTGAAGATGAAAGGGCAGTTGGGGGACACATTCTGAAATAATGTATATTTCAGTGTTTTCACAAATAGTAAGTGCTTTGTTATTTTACTCTCGCTGGGTGCCACTGGCGTTTTCCACAGATCCGTCTATATAGACAAACATAAAAGGGGCCAAAGAAAGTTTGAAGTTCATTCACAGGGCCAAAGACAGATTAAAGTTGGATAAGAATAATGTTTGGAGATCAGAGGGTCCCTCTACTGGCCACTAGTATAAATACACTTAAACTAAATGGTATGCCCTACATATTCGTGATGATAATTAACACAAAAGTCACCCCAATTTAATACTAACCTTGTAACATGACAGGGTTGATTATAGGCCAGTTTTTAGTAAAACCTTTAAAAAATCTTTTGTTTCCTTAACGTGAACTTGGGAGCTGTGGTCATGGAATAAATCTGGTCTCCTTTGTGTTTCTGCTTGTGGACTCCACTCTCTTCCCTCATGACCAGTCAGTTTTTAGGGCACTCAGTTAGATGAAGTGTTTTTTTTTCTGTACTGGAAATCAAACTCAGGGCCTCATGCTTACCAGGCAGGCATTTCGGTGCTGAGCTACATCCCAGGCCCTATATGAAATTAGTTTCTAAAACAATACTGTATTGTTGTTACTCCTTGGGTTTGGAGCAGAATTAGAGCTAGATAAAAAGTCAAGTAGATGGAGATCGAAATGTCAATTTTCTTATCAATAAAAGTGATATTGAAGAATGTGACTCAGTTTTATCAGTGGGTTTCCTAGGACTGTACCCAGAGATAAGCAGCCTTTTCTCTGGGTCCTGCAGGCTTTCTTTTGCAGGGACAGTCCCTTGCATCCAAGGTGTGGAAGGTTATATAAGTACCAATAGGATGAAATACTAGGGCTATACTCAGCACAGAGGTGTAATGCCCCGGCCTTTTACCTCACAATAGCAGTCAAAGCAGAAAGCCTATCTTTTCCAGGCAGGCAGATTCCCCAGAGAACAAGGAGGCTGGGGCTCAGCCTAGCACACTCAGTTTCCTTCCTGCACACACCAATCCGATAAACCTGTTCTTCAAGCCTGAGCAGAAGTGAAGGCTGGGCCTGGAAGCCGGTTGTGCTTGTGGAAAGCTTATCCTCAAGGATCCCACAGGAGTGTGGAGGAAGTCTTTCCGCAGGCCTGGCCCGAATATTGGCACAGCCTAAGAAGGCCATGGGGGGCTGCTCCCCGTCAGGTCTCTGTCAGATCGCCAGTCTTTCTCACAGGACCTTTGGTGGTGTGAGGCTTGGTAGGTTGAGTTGAACACGATGGAAGTATTAATACGTGGATGCTTGTAAACTAGAAACCAGGGCCTTCTTTCCCCCTTCTTCAGTTGTTAAAAATTTACTACTTGGCCCTGGACTGGAATTTTTTTCCTTTTCAATTTTTATTTATTAGTACATGTCTATAATCCTTTTGGGCAGTTGGTACATGGACTGAAATTTTATTTTCCATCAAAACTTTTTTCCAACATAACTTTCACTTTTCCATCATAACTTTGTAATTGTACTCTGAAGAAAAACTGCAATTTCAGGACACAAAAGTACTCAAGCCCCTTTCCCTTCCAGGAAACATACCAAGACCAAACCAAACCAAACCATTCCTAAGGGTCTTAGGGGCACACTAAACCTGGGCCCCCGTGCTTGTCACTTGTGAAATGTGGCTCCCTCCGAAGAAAGCAGAGCGATCTTGGCTTAGCTCCCAACTCAAGGAAATGGCTGCATTGGATCCTGACCTGCCGGCCAGCCCTTAACCTGCCAGCCAGGAGAAATATGCGTCCTGGATCGCCACCAGGTCGCACAGAAACCCCAACCCCCAGCCAGCAAAAGTCTCTCTCAGGTGCCGCACTCTATACTGAGTGTGTGCTTTTAAAATTCTGCCCGATAATCTCCTTATGCCTCTCATGGGCACATTTTAAGAATTATTTTTCTGTGACGTAAGTCAACAAACCTACAACCTACTCTGTTGGGGTGATTTGAGGTGCCCCTTCCTATGTGGGGATCTCCTCAAGCCCCATCTGGTGACCCTATCTTCTGGTGAGGACCGTCTTTATCATTCCCAGGAGAAACCCTGGTCTCTGCGCCCTGTCCATGCCTCTGTGGGCTGCGCCCCGCCCGGCGCCCCAAGGCACACCAGTTGCGGGTCGCAGTGCCATCCCAGCTGCCAGCCTGGGCTCGGGCTGCCTCCGCACCAGACTCCATGCTGCCTGCCCGGGTGAGTGAGGGGGGAAGTGCTGGTATCATTCTGACCCTTCAGACCCTCCAGGCGTTGGCAAGGAGAACCAGGATTATTCAGAGGGAATCGGAATTTCTGGCACTAGTACTGTCCAAGAGTCAGAATGAGTCAGACCGTATCTGAGTTTTGGAAGTCAGAAACTCTGGATTTGGGTCCCATTTATGGGAAGTATAAGTGCATCTTTGCAATATGTATATATATATAGCCACTTGGAATGTTGATTTCTTTAAAACTGGAAACTTCTTCCATAAAACAAAAAAAATAAATAAAGTTTTTAGGATGAAATGAAATAGCATGAGAAAATGAGTTGTATAATTTTAAACAATTTAAGTTCTATTTAATTTTTGCAGTGCTAGAAATTGTATCTGGGACCTTTGCACTGAGCTACATTCACAGCCGTTTAATTTTTTTTTTTTTTTTTTTTTTTTGAGAAAAGGTCTCAAATTGCTAAAATGCCTAGGCTGGGCTCAGACTTGTCATCTTCCTGCCTCAGTCTCCCAGAGTGCTGGGATTTCGGGTGTGTGTTACCAGGCTTAAGCTATAAAACTTAAAGACCTACCTTAATGTAAAGCATAAGTATTATAAAGACCATGCACATTTGTGGCAAAAGGAGAGAATTGTTAGTTCTGACATTTGGTTAATAATTTGCAAGAAAGGAGTCAAGCAGGATTAACCACAAGGCTGACTGAACATGTGCTCAGTCCTCTAGCAAACAAGTATCAACTTACTTTAGAGGAAAGGGGAGGAGACAATTAGATACTTCTTTGATTTGGTAGAATAAATTATCTTTGTGAAAATAGAAATCTGTTGCATTCTTTTATGTGCCTTTTACATTTTCATGTTTAAAAATAATAATTTGGAAGAAGTTGGGGTATTGCACTTTCCCTGTTCTGAAAAGGTGCTTAGAATTTCTGAAAAACTGAATTCAGACACTATAAAATAATTCGTTTGTACCTCTAAAGGCCTTTTAAATTCAGGGGCCAAGAAGCCTTCTGGGGCACATTTTGTGTAATGCGCTTTGTACCGAGTACGCAAGGGCTGTTTTTTTTCTTTCATCTTGCAGGCAGATCCCAGATATAAAACTCCTTTAGTATGATGTTTCCTTGCAAACATCAAAACACAAAGTGACTAATTTTAATGTTCAATAACAACTATGTTTTGTGTGATCAACAACTTGGAATTTAAATCTTTCAGGTTTGAGGCTAAGTGTGAGTTTTTCAGCTATACCTTGGTCTCCCTCTAGTGTTATCTATGGCAAACTGTACAAAAGCCTGGGGCATGAAGTCCCCCCCCCCCCCCCCGCCTTCCTGAAAAAATAGGGTTGTGAACACCTGAGCCTCAATTATAATGGTTGGAAAATGTGCAGTTAACCTCAGGTTTTAATATTCTTCAGATATTCAGGTTGTTTTGCATTTGTTATTGCTATGATTTTGAGTTATTTTTGGGGGGTTGCTTGAACTTTGTGTTTATTTTCAGTGATAACTTTTGTGTGTGTACGTGCACGGATATTGTCTTTTCCACAAAAACAATGCCCTATGTTCATTTACAAATTTAACACTGACGCTTTATGCAATATGTTCTGGTATAAATTATAGAAAAAATTAATTATAAGTTGGTGGCAGAAACTGAGATTACTTTGTTGGTACTTTTTTTGAGGGGGTGGTGGTAAAATTAATATTTTGCAAAAAGCATTAAATGTAAATTTGACCAAGTCTTAGATACAATTACCAATTTAGAGAGGATGCAGAAGACGAAAGAACATAGTAGAATACACCAAGGAGATGTAAACAGTCAAATTTACTCTGGGAAATCCTCTGTCTCTGTCTCTCTCTCTGTCTCTGTGTCGGTCTCTGTCTCTTTCCTCTCTCTCTCTACTGGAGATCTAACCGAGGTCCATCCACATGGTAGCCAAGTGCTTGGCACTACTCTCCCAACCCAGAAATTCTATATACTAAAATAGGACATTTCTTCAAAAAATAAATTGCAAGGAAGTAAAAACAGAGATAAAAGTGAGACCTGAAAATTAAAAGACTTGAATTACTATAACCACATAGTATATCTGCTTTTATTTGTATTTTGATTAAAAAAAATAAGCCCTGTGAAAAATACTCATTTGTAACAGAAATACTCATTTTGTCCCTGCAATATAAAAAATGACTAATGAGAAATTTGAAAAGTTGATGTTAGATGTTTGCGTTACTAAGGAATTACTTTTAGGTGAAACAATGGTGTTTTAGTTAGGTTTAAAGATAAGTCATTGTATTTTAGGGGTTCACTCTGAAATGTTTATGCATGAAATCCCATGATATCCATCTTGAATTTGCTTCCAAATATTCCAGTAGGATGGAATGGGTGGAGATATGGATAGGGCACAATTGACCGTGAGTTTAAGATTGTTGCTACTAGATGGATACCTGAGAATATACTATACCATTTTATCTACTTTTGAGGATGTTTGATATTTTTCATAATAAAACATTAAAATATCAATAAACTGGTTATTGTACCTTTCATAGAAGCTGTATAAATGAATAGAACCTGTTATTGTTTAAATATATTTAAAAATTTTTATAGGTACATTTTAGATATACATAATGATCACATTCATCATAGAGAATTTGTACCTGCACATGATATATCTTAATTCTTTTTTTTTCCTATTCCCCTCCCCTTCCCTCTTTATTTACAAAAGCTTTGTTTCCATTTTTTCCCTCTATTCTCTTTTTTCTTATCCCTCTTTTCTTCCCCTTCCCCTCTCCCTTGTTCCCCTTCTCATTTGAACATTTTCTTCTCATTTCCCAATATCTGTTATACATTTAGGTCCTTATTTCCACTTTTGTTTACTCACATCAGAGAAACAATGAAGTATTTGAACATGTGTGTCCTATTTATTTCACTGAAGAGTATGGTCTCAAGGTGCATCCATTTAGCTGGAAATATCTCAAGTATATCCTTCTTTATGGCAGAGTAGTACTCCATTGTATTACCCCCCTCCCCCCAATGTTCTTTATCCATTCATTGGTCAATGGGTATTTGGGCTGTTTCCAAGATGGGTGTGCATATATCACTGTGGTATGATTCTTTTAGTTCTTTTGGGAAGATACCAAGAAGGAGAATAGCTCTGTCAAATGGAACATCTGGTTTTAGTTTTTTTTTTTTTTTGCTTAAATTCTTTTATTGATACATTTTAAGTATACAAGACATTTACATTTATCATTGGATACATTTATCATTGTACTTGTACATGATGTGTCTTGGTTCTTATTTTATCCCCATTACCTGTGCACCCTTCACCCCCTCCACCCTTCCCTATTTACATAGACTTTGTTTCCATTTTTTTCTTTTCTCATAATTTTTCCTTTCCCTTCTT